TAATATGTTATATTTCTAGTGAAAAAGAAATAAATGCTTACTTCTTTGCAGATTTTACAATGTTTTTCGTGTTTTTCTAAGGCTTTAATTTTAACAATTTCATCATGTATTTCTTGTTGTTTACGTACTTCTTCAGCATATTTTATTTTATCAAGACGACAAAACTCCTAAGTAAAAAAAAAAGTCCTAAATAAAAAACATGAAAAGGCAAAAATGAAAAAACTTAAAAAAAAATCTTCTAATAAAATAAAAGCTAATAATATTTCAACTTGATAACAGATTTTTATGTATTATTTAGTTATAAAGTCTATTATAATAAACAATTTTTTTTTAATTAAAAAACAACACAAATAAAATAGAAATTATTAGAAGAACTTAAATATGAAGAAAATAGAAATCATTAAAAGAACTTCAAAACTGAAGTAGTATTTTGCATACTTATATTATTGTATTATTATTGTATACTGGCATTATTATAATGCATTATTGGTATAATATTGTAGATTGCATATTTATTAACATATTTGTTGCTTAATGAAAATATAAAGGGTTATAAATCAAAAGCGAAAATGTAAATAAAGAAAGATACATCGACAGGGAGTTTTTGTTGAGACAAATTGGATCATAATTGTTATCAAAACTATTAATTAAAATTGTTATCAAAACAATTAATAAAACATTGCTCACAAAAACTTTTTGTTCTATTGATACGGCAGCCCAAAAGTACTAGTGTCAATACTCTAGAAGTATTTGTTTTCTTAGAAATAAGTACTACAAGAGTATTGATTTCTAAGTTTTCCTAAAAAAAAATTTGGAAAGTTTAAACTTTATTTAGACTTAAAGTCTTAGGTTTAGACTTTAGGTCCTATTTTATTGATAAAAAATAGGACCTAAAGTCCTAAGACTTAAAGATATAAAAAAAATTTGGAAATTTTAAACTTTATTTAGACTTAAAGTCTTAGGTTTAGACTTTAGGTCCTATTTTATATCAACTGAATTGATTATTTAAAATACTCGCTTAACTGTAAACCAAGAGTGTTTTTCTGTACAAATAAGAATCCATGCTAATTTCCATTTATTATCATTGACAAGCATTTATTATCATCAACATTGTATAAGCTAAAGAATCCAAATATTTCCAATAACATTTAAACATTTACTTTCTTCTAATGTTGTATAAAACTAAACTTGAGAGTGCACCAGTGTAAAATGTGAAAGAGAATCTCAAGTGAAGAGTTAAGTTGTTATTTATGTAAGTATCTGGGATTTTGTGATAAAAATATAAAATATTATATATAATAAAGATAAAAATATAAAGTAAACTTTAATGCAAATAAAAATAAGTTTTATTTGAATTAATATTCATAACCTGCAGCAATGGTGAATATTAACTATTAACTAATTACAAGTAGACCTGTGCACCTTGTCAAAAAGAGAAAGGGCATCATTAGAAGATCCGCCCCAGATATGGCAACAGTATTCCATACAAGGTCGGATTTGAGATTTATAGAGATAGAAAATGGAATCCAGAGTAAGAAAGTGTCAAGCTTGATAAAGAGATGCAACTTTAGCAGATGCTAATTTTGCAACGGATTTGATATAAGGTTTCCAAGAAAGATGAGAAGTGAGAGTTAATCCTAGAAGATGAAGGGTAGATGACTCATCGAGTACATTACCGTTCATAAATATAGGAAGGTCTGAATTATTGCGATAACAATTGGCTGAAAAAAATTGAGCTTTTTTCTGAATTAAAGTTCACCAGCCACTGTGAGCCCCATGCTGTAGCAGAAGTGAGATCCTTTTCAAGCTCAAATGCCCCCTGCAAGCAATCAGAGGGAGTTGGCTTCTTATTGTGACAAGAATAAATGGTCGTATCATCAGTGAACAATGCCACCTTAGAAGTGAGAATATCTGGAAGATCGTTAATGTATATTAAAAAGAGTATAGGGCCAAGGATTGAACCTTAAAGAACCCCTGAGGTTACAGAATAAGAAGAGTGCTGTCCATCAAGGACAACTTTTATACTATGATTGGAAAGAAACAATTCAATAATCTTAAAGATGTTTCCAGATACACCGTAAGGAGAAAGTTTATAGAGAAGACCAGCATGCCAAACTTTATCAAACACTTTAGAAATGTCAAGAGCGATGGCCTTAACCTATCCACCTTTATCTAATGCATGATAAAACCTATTGATTATTACTGTTAGCAAATTAGCTGTAGGACAAGAAGATCAAATCCATATTGATGATCAGAAAGTAAATTATTAGATTCAAGATGAGAGATTAAGTGTTTGTTAATCAAAGATTCAAAAACCTTGCTTATGATAGAAAGAAGGCTAATGGGACGGTAGTTAGACAAATCAGATTGCTCTCCAGAATTTTTGAAAATAGGGATAACAGATGCTGTTTTTCAGCAGGCTGGAAAACAAGACTGAAAAGCACTTGTTAAATAGTTTTGAAAGTATAGATGACAGCTCCAGAGAACACTTCTGCAAGACTATAACAGGTATGCTGTCCGGGCCACAAGCTGTAGAAGAGTCTAAGAAAGAAATCACTTTAGATACAGAAGCTGGATGGATACGAATGTCAAGCAATGGATCAACCTGTTTGACAGAAATCAAGAGATGATATTAATGAAAAGTTCTTAAAAAACAATTCAGCTTTGTCTTTCGGTAAGATGAGAAAGTTTGAACCATACAAGAGAGGTGGAATTACAGATTTGCCCTTATTATTGATACTATTAAAGATTCTCCAGATCTCATGAAAGCCTAATTTTGGTGATGAAATACGAGATTTCATGACCTGAGAATAGCAGGCTTAGGCATTAGACAAAAACTTTTTACAATGGTTTCTAGCAGTAATAAACAGACCTCTGTTTTCTGGAGAATTGTTTTGCTGATAGATATGGAAGTAATGGTTTCGATTGGCAATTGCAGCAGCACAATGTGAGGAAAACCATGGAGAAGAGTGAGGCTTGACCTGGAATTGTTGAGAGAGAATAAAAGATTCAATGCCAGCCTGAATCCAGGAAGTTATGTAAGAAGCACATTTGTCAACAGGAAGACAAAAGATTTCTACCCAAGAGCCATCACAAAGAAAATTGTGGAAAGAGTCCCAGTCAGCTTTAAGGTAGTTGTAAGATGTGCAATGATAGGGGGATTCTGATGATAAAAAATAATGAGATAATAGTTTTAGAAAGATCAAACTGTAATTAGAGGCAGTTAAGGGTGAATGTGGAGAAACTGAGCACTGACTAGGAACAGAAACAAGACATAAGTCAAGTAGAGAAGGTAAATGATTCGGGTTGTCTGGAAAGCGAGTTAGAAAGTTGACTATTTGAGTTAGGGATTGAGAAAGGCAAAAGTTGTGAGCTTTAATGCCAGCAGAGCCACTGACACTAGAGCCAAGTCATTTAGTGTGATGAGCATTAAAGTCACAGACAACAATGATATTGGCTGATGGATAAAGAGAGATGGCTTGGTCAATATGATCAGAAATAACATCAAGAAGAGTGCAGTCTTGAGATGAAAGAGAGCAATATAGAACACAGAGAAAGGCAATGGACTGAAGTGGTGCTAAACAAAAGCACATTAAAGAATAGTCTGTGGATTCAAACCTAGTTTCCTGACAAATGGATGAATTCTTACAAAAGTAAATGCCCAGGCCAAGCATGTGACTATTGGAGTATTTACTAATTAAAAGAAGATAACCATTAACACTGAGATCACATGATGAGACAGCTGAACTCAAATTAGTCTCACAAAGAGCAAGTAGGTCTCATGAACTTTCCAAGAGATATGACTCAACAGAAGAAAAGTAACTTCGAAGACAACAAATATTAGTGAATGATAGGTTTAGAGAACTATAAGGTGATGACAATGGTTTTTTATGTTTTATAGTTTTTGTTACTTTATTCATTTTTAAATTTTTTAAAGAACTTGACTCAAAGCATAGATAGTACTCAGTACACTGCTTAATAGCCCAAGCAATTGCCTCATTGCTATTAATAAACCCTAAGCTGTAACAAAGAGCTCCAATGTGGCCTTGGCAATGCACACCAAAAGTACAAACAGGAACACCATCCATGCGCAACATGGCACTGTTAATACTTTGACATTTTTCAGCTGTTGATGGAATCAACCTCTCTGAGAGCTACTACAGAGTTTGGAAACCTGACTACCAGCCGGCCTCAGAACCATAAAACTGAGTTTTAGAGCTGTACCCTCATTAGGGGGTAATAGAATGAGTTGCCAGAACAGAGACATAAGCAAAACCCATGCATTGAGTCAAGAAGATCCAGCATTTAACATCCTAAACTGGAAGCAATGTATTAAAAATACATCTGCGTCAGATTAGTAGATGGAAAAGAGGTACAAGGCTGGTCAACAGATAGGATCCGTTTACCCTTATAGTCTTTGCCTAGGAGGCCTTCTACAAGACAGTAGCTGGATGCATTCAACTTCTGCTTATGATGAGTATTTTTAGAGACACCATCTCTAGCGTTTACTTAACCAAAAGCACTAAGGCAGAGGGTGTTTTAAGTTGGAGTTGGCATCTCCTAGTCTTTGCCTAAAAAGACGTATCCTAGAAGGCAGTAGGTTATGAAGCAGATGTAACAACATCTGCTTTATGTCCTGCTGCCTTGTAGGATAACATGTTTTGGGTTACATGTTACCAGTAGCAGGATAACCTGACCTAACCTAAACACTAAAGTTGTTAAGTTAAGCTTTTTTAAACATGTTGTACTTTAGAAGTGTATCTGATATTTTTGCTGGATATGCCGGATAATGAACTTTTTTAAAGTTCTATAAGTATTTATGAAGAAAAAACAAATCTTGCCATTCTACGTTAAATTGTGTTCAAGATTTAAAATAAAATCAAGAAAAAACTGGTATAACACAGGTATATGCGTTAATAATGTAAATTAAATTTGGCTTAATATTTTTAACATTTACTTAATTTTATTACTTTAATTTTTGATAATTTTTGTTTATAGATTTTGTTTTTGTATTTTGGTTTCATGCTTTGATTAAATTCCTTTTGTTGTTTAGCAAATTAGTAAATGTGATGTTTCCATATTTATTTGTCTATTATTTTACTACTAGATTCTTTTATGTGTAAAATTAATACTTCATATTTCATAAAAGACTTACTGCTTCTCGATCTAATGCTTCCTGAAATTCTTTTTGTCTACGCTCTGAATACTGTCTTTCCAGCTCAAGCCTAAATAATAAAAAAATGAAACTAACAAAGTTTTGATAAGTCAGTAATCAAAATGATTAAAGCTATGCAAATATGCATGCATCTATGTATGCAACTATATAGCCAGTTATTGTACAACACATCAACGTTTAAATGAGTTAAAACTATTTTCTAACTTTTCCTCATTTATTATTCTTTAAGAACAACTTAAACTCAAAAAAATAAGTCTGTCACCTGGCAAGACAACTGGAAAATTAGTTACAGCTGTATTTTTACAACTATAACAAATAACCTATAAGAATCTTGGATGTGATTATTTTAATCAAAACTTTAAAAAGCTTTTGATCAGAATTGCAAAAAATGCTGCAACTAAACTTCTTTGCAAACAAAGTGTTTATATGCAGTTAATATTTTGTTGTTGTTATATGCAGTTAATATTTTGTTGAACAAAATAAAAAGGAACCAACTAGCCGTACTCAGAACTAAAATAAGAATTTATTTTATTTTATTACAGAAAACAAAATATTAGGCATTGTTAATATTGTGCATGACATTAATTCTTAAAAAAGTAGTTGTGAAAAAATTTAAAAAAACATTTAATTTAAAATTGAGATCAAGATCAGAATAATAAAATAATCTTTTAAATATTTAAAATTTTTCAATATTTATTTAGTTAATGACCTAAATAAGTTGTTGAAAGTGTAAAAAGATCAACAACAAAAAAATTTAAACAGTGTTTTACTATTCATAACAGACAACTAAAATTGACAAAATACTTTACTAAGACATTACCAACCATTTAGCCAGCCAATTTTTAACCACCATTTTTAACAACCATTTTTAACAACAATTTAGCCAGCCAAAAGGCATAAAATTAATGTTAAACTATTGTTAAAGAGTTCAAATTTTGACTTTAACTCTAAAAAAGTCACACAAAAATTGATTTATATATATATATATATATATATAAACCTGTTATTTTTCATGATTTCCTTTTCTTTTTTCAAGTTTGTAAGTTGTACAACAATTTTTTTCTCCATTTCAGTTTGAACTGCCAGTCGTCTTAATAAAGCTTCATCTCTATCATTATCCTATGAAAATCACAAATAATAAAATAAAACTGTCAAGTTAAAACAAATTTCAGTAAAAATAAAAAGTGTGTCTTCTGTTAGCTCTCATTTTAAAAACTTCTTTTTTAATTAGTTCATTAGATTAAAAAAAAAAAAATGGAATAAAATAAAATTGTTAATCTAGTTAATCAATGTCTTGTTTTTATACTCTTATAAAATTATAAAACCTATAACTTTTTTTAAATAAAAGCCTTTCTCAAAAAATTATTAAGGGGCACAGTAAAAGTGGAATCCATCTCAGCACTGTAACAAATCTTCACAAGCTTTTTTGTTTTTCTTATAGGATGTATAAGTTTTACCAATGCACAGCCTATTATTAAATTGTTACTAATTCTTTTTACAATATAATTAAGATGCTTTTGATGAACTGCCCACAATGGAAATCTGAGTATGGTGATGCAATAATCTGCTTAAGTTAAACAAAAAAATATATTTCAATTGTTATTATTAGAACGATTCAAAATTGTATATGAAAAAAATTATTTTATATTTAAGTTTCTAAGTTGATATGGTTTATGGTCAGGAAAATAAGAATTCAAAACTAAAAACTAAATAATTTGTTTTGTGACTATTCTAGAGATAAAAGGTTTTAAAAAAACCACAAAAGTTTAATTAAATATAAATGTTACAATATATTTTGTTATCTAATTAATAATACTGAACTTAATACTGTTAGTAGTGCCTTTTCGAGCCCTTTTGACACAGAACTCTTAGCAGCCATTGCAACCGAAGTAATGGCAAGAAAGAGTTGCAGCAGTTTTGTTTATAAGAAAACGTGAACGAAAATGTATGCAATTATCTAACGTACCTAAACTTCATATTATGTAATGTTAAAAGTATTTAAATTTGTATTTTAAATTATTTAAAATACAAATTTAAATACTTTTAAAGTTTTATAGATATTATATATAGACAATTTTATATGATAAATATTGCCATGGTACAAAGTGCCAACCGAGTTTTACTTCTACGCAGTTTTAATCCACCGCAAAGCTTAATTAAATGCTTAATAAAATATAAAATTTAAAGATTTTTAAAGCATAAAAAAAGATAAAATTTACAAATTTTTCTTACATCTCTTTAATCTGTTTAATTTTTGACTTTTATTTAATCAAAGTTCTTATAAACTTTGGATTTAGATTTATTACATTGATAATTACATTGTCATATTATTTTTGTTAGATTATTACATTGTTAGATATTTCTTTAGATTATTTAACTTTATAAATACTACTCATCATCATGTCAGGTAGTATTTGTTTTTCATTTTCTCTTTAGTTTATTTTGGTTGAAATTGTTTATTGACCTCTTTTTAAACTTTTAGAGGCTTTCGACAACGATTTAGTGTTCAGTAAGTCTCTTTTATTTATTTTTATTTGTTCAGTAATTCTAATCCTCTTTATTTGTTCAATAAGTCGCTTTCAGTCGTTTTTATTTGTTTGTTAAGTTTTTTTGTTTGCTTGCTTTCCTTATATTTTATTTTTTGTTTTTAGTTAAACAACAATTTTTTTAAGTAATTTTTTTTTTTTTTTTTTAATACTGAGCATTTTTTTATTTAGTGGTGCAACCACAACCTGGTAAGAATTATTCTATGCTTTTTAATAGTGTCAAACCTATAAAAAAAACCTTTTTTGTATTTGTTGTGCCATTGATACCAATTTATTTTTCGTTTACTTAATTATTTATTTATTTTTAATCTGTTTTTATTTTTTAAGTAGATACGCAACAACAACCACAATCTGGTAAGAAAGAAACTTTTTTAAAAAGTTCTTAATATTTTGTGTTTTTCTTTTTCTTTACTTACGTTTTTTTTTTTAATCTGTATTTAAAAAATACAGATTTAAACTACTACTTTTGTTTTACTACTAGACACTACATTTTTTAACAAATAACAACACAGCCAATTTTATTTTTGACTTACTATTTTTGTTGCTGCAAAGCCAGAAACCAGTCTTTGATACTGGTTAAAAAACCGGTCTTTGATACTGGGATAAAAACCAGTCTATGATACTGGGGAAAAGAACCAGTCTATGATACTGGGGAAAAGAACCAGTCTTTGATACTGGGAAAAAATCCAGTCTTTGATACTGGGAAAAAAAAAACAGACTTTGATACTGGATATTTTTACTGGAAAGCCATTCTTTGTTACTGAAAAAAACAGTTGTTTTATGACATTTACATGACAGTATTAAAATGTGCTTCATATGTTAATAAAAAAAAAACTCAAATATTTTTTGACAGACTCCTTAGCTCACCTTTACATTGGTGTCTGTTGTTAAAAATGATTATTAGATAGTTTAATTGCTGAGGCTAATTACTTTTAGCCATTCACTAAGAGCTAAGAAAAAATATTTTAATAAATGTATTTTGATTATTTTTAATTTTAATCTTAGTTTAATTGTTTTCAAACTAAGATTAAAATTAAAAATTGTTTATTTTTAATTTTAATCTTAGTTTAAAAACCAACTTTATTTTTGGCTTCCAAATAATTATCATACAAACTTTTAACAACCAAAAATTATGTCAAAGTAAGTTTTATCTTTTTATCATTTTAGCATTTTTTTTACCATAAACTTTAATTACCTTTATTAATTATTACCTTTTTTTTTGGAAATACATTTCATCAATGATTGTTTATAAATATTGTAATGATAAATACGTAGTTGTTTCTTTTAGACTGGCTATTTTGAATTAGTGAACTGATTTTGTAATGAACCAGAAGTTGTGAAGTCTTTAATGTTAAATCAAATATACATTCACAAAAAAAATGTTGTTATTCATATTTGTTTATAAAAACATTTTAAATAAATTTAGAAAACCTTAGGTATAATATACCTAAGATTTTTTAAATTTTTTAAAAATGTAGTTATTACTATTACTATTAAGCCATTACATTACTATTAAGCCAGAATGACAATGTATAATTGAGAAAAAAGAAATCTTCATTTGACTTATCAAAAATTTGAAATGTTATACTATAACATTTGAAATTTTTGATAATTTAAATGAAGATTTCTTTATTCTCAATTATACATTGTCATTCTGGCTTAATAGTAATATAGCTATAAAAATAAAAATATAATATAGCTATAAAAAGTAACAATCATAACAATAGTTTTTATTTGGCCATCTCTCTTTGATTTTTTTTTTTTTTCATCCCTCTCCCTTTGATTTTTCAGCTTGCAAGATTTTGTCACATTTATTGATCCATATTAAAAACAGCTTTTTGTTAAGAGTTTATATAAAAGTCTTTACAGAATATGTAAAATCGACTGAGTTTTATTGCTTTGTAAATTTGATATAGATTAATGAATGTTTAAAATCCTCTTTTTACTGTTGTCTTTTTCAAAAGGGGTGCTGTAGGAATTTTAGTCCAAATCTAATATATAAAATGGGGTGGGAATATTTTTTTACATAAGTTATTATACATAAGGGAATATTTTTTTACATAAGTTACATAATTATTTTTTATAAAAAATATCAGTTTCTAAATCCAAACTTTTTACAAAACACTATAACGCAATTTAGTTATAACATGGCTTTCAGTAAAAATACATTTTTTAAAATCTGTTTTATAATTTAAATAAGATTTAAAATGCTGATATAATTGTTATTCTTTAGTGAGAAATAAAGTTCATTTTCGACAAATCCAGATTTATTTAAGTTTTAAAGCTGATTCTATGCTGAAAATTTGTTTTTATCAGTTATTGAAATAACAATTTTTTATTAAAATATTTTATAATTTAAAGAAAAAAGCCGATTTTCAATGGTTCTTTTTTTGGAAACTTTTTGTTGATAAGTTAAAATTAATAAACGAGGGTGGGTGTGGCTTAGTAAGCTAAGAGTGGGTAGAAATATTTTCCTAAAACAAACGTCTCCCCTCTATCCTTTAAGATACGAAAATCACCATTTTATTTTGAAAAAAGTTGCAAGAAATGTCAATTTATGTTAGAGTAAGTATTTATGCAATCAATAAGGTTAATCTTTGCATCTAGGACATTAAAAATTATCATTTAGGAAGATGTTTTCATTCGATTGAGATTTTCTTTCGTAATATGTGGGATAAGATTTCTAATGACCTCTAAGCACGCAGACAAAGTGAGAATCGATATCCTCTAGACCCGTATTTTACGGGTCATGACAGCTAGTAATAAAAGATAGTGTGTTACATAATGTGTTATTAAAGTAATCACTGGAGTAATGAGCCACTTTCTATTCTGCTATAAAAACTTTTCTTTAATAAAATTGCCACAAGTTTTTTTTTTTTCTTTTTTTTTTAACATTTTCGCTTCCAACAAGGCTGCAAACAACCACTAATTAGTGTTGGAAGATACTGGAAGAGAAAAGATGAAGGTTGTAGAGCAAGGTAACGGTTGACAGATGACTTAAAAGATTGCAAACTATATGAATCAGGAAAGCGAGATGAAGGAAGCGAATTCCAAAGAACTGATGTTCAAGGAAAAAAACTAGACGAATAAGAGTTTTTGGAGCACTTAGGAACAGTTAAAGAAAAAGGATGAGACTTAATTGAGTGATGAGTAACACGAGAATGAATTTTAGTAGATGGCACAAAGGATGCTAGCTCTTTAGAGCAGTGCCCATTATAGTATTTGTAGAAAAGAGAAAGAGAAGAGGTTAAAGGTTGGCTGCAAGAGCAGGTCCAACTATGTTTACAATGCGTTTTTGCACCTTGTCTAAAAGAGAAAGGCATCATTAGAAGATCCGCCCCAGATATGGCAACAGTATTCCATAGAAGGTCAGATTTGAGATTTATAGAGATAGAGAATAGAATCCAGAGTAAGAAAGTGTCAAGCTCGATAAAGAGATGCAACTTTAGCAGATGCTAATTTTGCAACGGATTTGATATAAGGTTTCCAAGAAAGATGAGAAGTGAGAGTTAATCCTAGAAGATGAAGGGTAGATGACTCATCGAGTACATTACTGCAGGGCTTTGGAGCCGA